AGTGCACCTGCTGGGGGCGACTTCGGAGGCTTCTTGTTTCCGAATGAAAATTGTCTGCGTGGTTCTCTCCTCGGGACATAATTGATAGATTCCCGAGACTTCTCATCTTTCCTCGAGATTTACACCCCAGAATGAAGGAGAAATTATTCTGTTTCAGCAATTCCAGGGCACTGTGACTTAGCTAATAGCTTTAGGGGAAGCATTAATACCTCTCTATTAATTCTGATGAGGAAAGATGTAGGCTCGGCGTTAGCTCCCGTGGGGGCAGGAGAGCGGGCGGCTCGCGCCCCGCCCCAGGGGGTCAGATCCCTGTGGGACGGGGGCGGCGCGGAGGGGCAGCCCTCCAGGAGGCCGCGCCCTGGCAAAGCGCGCTTGAAGCCCCTGAACAAAGGCCACGGCCCCGCTGTCCCTGGGATGGTCAGCCGCCTCCCCCCGCGTTTCGAAACGTCTCTGACGTGTCTGTACTCAGGCAGAGCCTCTACTCCAGACCCCACGCTCCTCACGGCGGCGCGGCTCTGCGGCTGCCCCGGAGGCCGAGCTCAGCCCTGCCCCTCGGAGATTTTCTCCCAACCGGGGAAAGGGCTGGTTGAAACAGTCCAGGACCTCAGATCTCACCGTGGAGACCAGCCCACAACAACCCTCATGAAAGCGAAAATGGAAGCGCATGGGCTCGAGAGAGGGGGAGGGGTTGATGTGGAGACCCCTGGGGTCATCCCGAGCAGGGAGGGGCCGGGGGCGGCCAACTGCCCTTCAGTGCACAGACGGCCACCGCAGCGGGAGCGGGGAGGTCAGCAGGCTGGGGCCCACAAGCCAAAAGACAGGCAGTGCTCCGGTGCAGACACCGCAGACAGGGCCGCTCGGGCCCCCCAGCGCCCGTCCCCGCCCCCCCAGGGCTGAGCCACCAGCGTGCAGTCGGCCAGATCTGCCTGTTTTCCAAGAAAAGGCAGAGATGTGGATTGGCGCCTCCCAAGCTGGCAGCAAATCGATTTTCAAACAGCCCCTCTGACCTGCGTGTCTGGGCAGGCGAGCAGGGGCGAGCTGGAGGCGGGTTGCACCCCACCGGGGCGCGGGCAGCCTCCTGCCAGGCTTTGCTCTCGCACTAAAAGCAAACAAAGTTCCTTATAAAAAATAAACTGAAAAAACTACTGATGGGAGAGTCAGCCTGGTTTTGAAAAGTGATTTGGGCTCTCCTGGGCGGCATCAATCTCACACAGCGGGCCTGGGCCCAGCCCCAGCGCCAGCACCCGAGCATCGGCGTTTCTCTCCTGAAGCAATCGTGGCGGGGTCGAGCCAGTCGGTGCCGGGCGGCTGCCCTGGCCGAGGCTGTGCGGTCATTCGAGCCGTCCGCCCTTCCCTCAGCGCAGCCTGGAGTGATCTGCGAGAAGTTGAGAGCAGCAGCTTTCCGTGAGCAGCTCGCAGAGGACAAAATCAAACAGCGAGCGCCTGGCCCCCTTCGAAGGTACCCGGAGGCCGCTGGACCCGGCAGCCTCGGGGCGGAGGCTGCGGCGCAACTGTTCCTTGGGGTGCAGAAGCGGCCTCTCCGTGGGAACACCTCGATGTTGCTCTAGAGGCTGACAGGAGGATAACAGACGGGTAACGCCATCGGCTCAAAACTTGAGGCTGAGAGTGGTGAGCGTGTGGGAGAGGCCCAGGCCGGCAGGGCCCTCGGAGCAGCCGGAGGGCAGGGCGAGAGCGGGAGGTCGGCCCTGGCAGCCCCGCGGGAAGTGTGATTTCTCAGCAGGGAGAAATTGGGACGGACTGAACAAGGGAAGACAGACGTTGCCGTCTCCAGCCAAACCTTGTCTGTCTGTGCGACCCTAAGCTTTTGGAAATTTTACCTCTCTGAGTAATGGCTTCTCAGTCTCTTTTTTTCAGAAGACCATTTTTCTCTTGGTTCGAATCTCTCTTCTGTGTCTCGAATGGGAGGCAATCAGCCTGAGAACACTCCACTCCCCATTTTCTCCAAAATCACATTGTGTGGGAAAGTATGCCTCAGATCTCTTGGCAAATTGAAACTTTAATCATGCTCAGACAATAAGAAAACGCCCTAAAATAAAGAGGACAAACTGTGAGGAAGAAGGAAAGCTAAATGAAGGGGGTAGGGGAGAGAAGTAACGAAAAAACCTGCTCATGTTATTGGAGTTATTTAATGCCAAAACAATCAAAAGAGCTACTTTATGGATCATTACATTCAAACTTTCTTAACTCAAATGAAAATGGTAGGGGAAAAAAGTTCAGCCACTGGGATATAATTGATGTGTTTAAGCAATTGCCTCATCGCTTCTTAAGAGTTCCGCCCTGGAGAAGAGTCCCTGTTTCAGCAGTTCTGCAGGCGATATTACTTAACTAATGGCTTTAGGAAAAGAATATCTCCCCATTAATTCTGACAGGAAAAGTAATGGCTCAGAGCCATTAGCTGCACGTGGAGAAGGGGGAGGGAGCCGGTGCCAACCCTGGCCTTCAGGCGCCTCCTGTTGCTCCCCTGAAAACACGCGGGGTGACTCGTGAGAGAGGGAGGAGCGGACAGAGCCGCGGCCGCGCCACGGCGCCGGGCCCACTCGTGGTGGCTCAGGACACGCGTGTACGCGAGCGCGGGCAGAGGCCAGGTCTCCGGGCCGGCAGCGCACCCCACAGCGTCTGCGCCGCTAGCTGGCGGTCTCCCCTCCTCACCGGTTACGGGAGCCCCCGTCCCCGCGCGCCTGTCGCAGGGGTCACGGCGCTCTCTCTTCAAGGAAAGCGAGCCGCCTGGGGACGTTCGCCTCAGAGGAATTTCCCCGTGGCTGTTGGTGGGGAGAAAATGCAGCTACGATCATTCAGTGGCTGAAAGGCTGAGTGGCCTGCAGAATCCCACAGGAGAGAGGCGTGAGGAAGGAGGTGAGGGGGAGGAAGAGCCGGGTCTGCAGCAGACACCGGGCACCGCGTGGCCGGGCCCCGTAGCGAGGGCCGGGCAGCCGCCCCTCGAGTCCGCCC